TATGTAATTTATATAAAGTATATTATATATATATATGTATATATATATATTTATATATATAACAATGCAAGGTTATTATATATAATAATAAAAATTGTAATAAATTTTATTTAATTTTTATTAATCATACAGTAAATATACTTATAGTAAATACATATTACATTACATTGTAATAATTTTTTCCACATAGCTTAAAATAAGATAATACTTTTATTTGTTTTACAATCAGTACCAAAAAATCTCGTGCGACACGCACAACACAAGTGCAATATGAAGAATTAGTCAAATATATGGAATCGCATTCAGAGTTCGCTGCAGGTAGATTTTTAGGAAAAGAGGGGAAAGTCCAATATGCTCAGCAATGGGAGAGATTGAAAACAATGTTAAATTCGTTAAGTACGAGACCCGAAAAGACGACAAAGCAGTGGCAAACGGTATGCAATTAAAACAATTAAATTTGTAATTGCTTTAATATAAAAAAAATTAATTTGACATTAATTCTTCTTGCTCGCGCATTTGACCGGGGCATATGTTAATGCAAAATCATCTCATTTTGAAAAACTAATTCGTAAAAATACTGTATAAATATTATATAAATGTATTACATTTATACATTATTTTTATTTAGGTATGGAGAGATTTGAAGAGCAACGCTTCGAAAAAAGCAGCAAAAATACGTAATGAAAGGAATCGGACGGGAAATTTCCCAATGCAATCACAACCTTTGCAGGATTTGGAACAACGTGTTATCGCGTGTATGGGTTTGGACTACGTGCAAGGTTCGGTAGCTTGTCCTGATAGCACACCAGAGGAAGAGGTATGTGTGTGTGTGTAACATCAGGGAGTTGATTGTGTATCTTGGAATAAGATAAAAATTAAAAAAGTGAGCAGATTTTCTAGAATATTTATAATTTTAATAACCAATATCTAGTGAATCTGCTCATTTTTAAAATTGTCACCTCATTCTAAGATACACAATCGAGTCTCTGTTTTTTTTCGTAATTTCTAACATAAATTTTCTAATATGAATTCTTTTGTGAAGAACAGAACTTTATTTTCCGGAGTATTTTCAGGAATATCAGCTTGAATTGGAAAAAGGAAACGAAGAAGTTCTTAGTTGTCCACCGGAAGTATCCTCAATTGCTGACATTTTACCGAGAAACGATGATACGGACATTGATGGTTAGTTTGAAATATATGCAAAGAATATTTGGTGTCTGGAAATCTGTTTTCAGATGTCTGTCCGCTCAGAGGCAATTAATGTATGAACCTGCTATGACAGGCCAAATAGTCAATGCATGTTCTTCACAAGAGAGTTGCACATTGAATATACGACACAATTTATTTATGATCTAACAGACAAAATATTGCTATTGCAAAGATCATAATTTTTCTTCGATGCAATCGAGAAAAAGAACGAGCAATCTACGAACACGAACGCGAATGTCCGAACATTCGTTTTTTTTCTCGATTGTGTGTAGTCGACTTAGATCAAACACAAAATATTAATATTTTTTAACTTATAATTTATACTATTTATAGTATATATTATATAATATATTATATAATATATTATATACATTATATAATATATTATATAATTTATAGACATTCAAGTATATGAAGAAAATTCAGTTGCAAACGTTATTACATTGGATCGGGAAAAAATAAACGATAATGAAAATTTAAC